TATTTTTACAGGACCTCTCACCGCGTCGTCCTGGGTGAGCATGATCGTTCATCCAATGCTGAGGCCATTCAGACCATTGCCGTTGGAAAGGTGTGTAGACCCTCAATATCTATTTTATTGAGTATCACAGTATTTCCTGCAGAATTCTGTTTTGCCAGTGGGAAGCCCCCGTCCAAATTCAATACATAAATATAAAGCACAATTGCTTCATTTATTACAAATATATCCCTATACCAGTGATGATGCTCATGCAAAACATTCTTCATGCATTTGACATCACTGAAAATACTCAAAACTACTATTCAGGACTACCTCTATCAGTGTAACAAATTTCATGGTTTAACTATGTAAGGTTCAAAGGGATGCCCTTTCGAGAAAAAAACAAAAAACAATTACACTAGGCTACATCATTCAGTGCTTAATGGCCCCTAATAACGACAACTTGCAGTTCAGTAAATGAGTCCGTTGTTGATTCACTAATGGATCTGGGGTGTGTTTCCCAAAGCCGACTACCCAGCAAGCAATAGCCGTCATTTCACCATCTCGGTTAACTACATCCCGATATAGTCTGGATATGAGTAACCCACTTCTAGCCAAAATATCCCTGAATTTGGTTACATGTCGTTTTTTCCAAAATAACTTGCGAGATGTATGATATTCCATCATTTAAGCAAAGTCAACAGTGATTACAAGGTGTTTGGTTTCATGTCTTTGACATGTTGTTTGCGTAGCCTGTGCGTCTATTCCTGGGCTATAGTTAGATATCTATTAAATTTTCAGCCCATTTTTTTTTTCTCTATCGCCATTATATTGCATCACATTCAATACAGATTGCAAACACACACTCACAACCTAGGTAATATGATTGTTTTTCACAAAAGATTCAGCAGCAGCGGTACAGATTCCCCATTGTTGAAAAGCACTGAAAGAAACACTAGCATATATCCTGCATGAACCACTGTTCTGAGGTAGTATTTTAATAGAAACCTGAAGAGAGCGTTTCCACTGATTTTGCTACCTTAAAATTGGAATGCTAACATGTCTGTATCCTCTTCCCAAAGTCCATCAAGCACCCTAACTACAACAGCTTCACCATCAACAACGACATCCTCCTGATCAAGCTGGCCACTCCTGCTCAGATCAACACTCACGTGTCTCCTGTGTGTCTCGCTGAAACCAGTGACAACTTCCCTGGAGGCATGAAGTGTGTGACCTCTGGATGGGGCCTGACCAGGTACAATGGTGAGTTTCAGAATCTCTTTTCATTGCAGCATTTTTATCATTTTTGCATATATTTAAAAAATATTTACATTTACAATGATGAAACTTTTATTTTATTTTTAATATACATTATAGCATTTGTTCAGCTTTTATGGTTTAAGAAGGTCAAACTTGAGTTATAGAGCTCTGTCCTGATTTATTTTCTTTGCTGAAAGCTTCTAAAATGCTGCCAATCTGTCGTTTCAGCCCCTGATACCCCTGCCCTGCTCCAGCAGGCCGCTCTGCCTCTGTTGACCAATGATGACTGCAAGCGTTACTGGGGAACCAACATCACTGATCTGATGATCTGTGCCGGAGCCTCTGGTGCTTCTTCTTGCATGGTGAGCTCCCAAATAAATATATGTGACAATTATTTATTTCTATATTATTAATGAAAGTTTGTCTTACATGTATAGATACATGTTTTTGATAACAAACTCTTCTATGTTTTATAGGGAGATTCTGGTGGTCCTCTGGTCTGTGAGAAGAATGGAATCTGGACTCTGGTTGGTATCGTGTCCTGGGGAAGCAGCTCTTGCTCCACTTCCACCCCTGCTGTGTACGCCCGTGTCACCAAACTCCGTGCCTGGGTTGACCAGACCATTGCTACTAACTAAAGCAGCCATGAATATTGTCTTTATTTTCTTTAATAAAGATGTATGACATGACCTTTTGTTCCTCTTTCTTGGATTAATTATTAATTATTTAAAAATATATATATTTTATTTTTCAGATATAATTTATACACTACCAGTCAAGGGTTTAGATACACTTGCTCATTCCTTATTATTATTATTATTATTTTCCCCATTTTAGAATAATCATAAAGTAGTCAAAACAACATCATAATACAGTGGTTCTCAAACAGGGGGCCGGGACCCACTAGGGGCCTCAGTACAATTCTAAGGGGGCTGCAAGAAGATTAAAAAAATGCAGTTATTTAAACTTATGGAATTATGGATTTTTGTTATTTTAGTTGATTCTAATTATTTTAATATTATTGCCTCTCATAGTTTCTGTACATATAAAAAATATATACAAAAAAATAAATATCTTGTGGGCCCTTTTAAATATTGTCTCTGACAATGGGGAACCAACATTACACAAATGGAATTATGGGAATTACTGTGAATATAGTGACCAAAATGTTTAACAGATCAAAATAGTTTACATTTGATCTTCTTCTAAATACCCACCCTTTGCTTTAAATTCACACTTTGGTCATTTTCTCAGCCTATTTTCTGAGGTAGATCCTGGAATGCTTTTTATGAAGTTCCCATGAATGCTGCATGGGCTTTTGTTGCTTTTTTTCTAACCAATCCTTTCCCCACTCACTAGTCACTAAGATGCAGCTTTCCATTTAAGAAGCACCCTGACTCAATATACTGATACCATGTGTTCAGGGCTTTGTTTGGTATAGTTGGCGAGGTCACTTTGTAAAGAAAAACTGCGCCAATAGACTGAACACGTAAAACGCATGCGTGTGACCTCATTGTTTTCATAAATTTGCATTTTTTTTTTGTAGTTTAGACGTAGACAATAGCAGTATCGTTTTTAAAATCTTGCACTTTGAAACCTGTATTAAAAAGTATACATTTACAGGCCCTCAAAACGCCATTTTCGTTTAACCCTCAGGTGCTCTTCATTTAGGTGCACCTTTTGTTATCTTCCCGGTCAGAAGTGACCAGACACCTAAAAATGAAAAAGTAAAACCCAGTAAAACCAATGCAATTTATTTTTGTTCTATAATTTTTTTTTTTTTTGAGAGAATTTGAAGTTACTTATTAATATTTATGGAATATTTATGGTCCATTTTTGCCATTGAAAATAATACAAAACATTTTTTTTCTAATTTTTAAAAATATTTCTTCAATTATTGCAGTATTTCAGATTAATATAGAGACTAGGCCTTTTAAATCCATTTCTTTGAAGTCAGATTAGCGCCATCTGTTGATAGAAAATTAAATAAAACATGTCATTGTGTTGAAACATGCTGTTACCACTAGATGCCTGTTTAGCTATCTATGGAGAGGCTTGCGAATTCTCTAGTTGTTTTGCTACCAAATTACTTACTTTTAAGATGTGATTTGAATGTATTTTTTTTAGAAATTCTTAAATAATACTTTTTTGCCAAGGTTTATAAAAAAAAAAATAAGTTTGATGTGAAGTGTACACGTTTTTGCATTATTACGGTCAAACCTGAATAGCCTAAAGCATTTTGTTACAGGTAACATTACAATTCAATAAAAAAATAACAAAAATAAACAGTAATGCTTTATCAAAGCTTATTATTATTTATATTGTTATGCTTTATTTTTTAAACATTATATGAATTATTATTTTAATAATTTTAATTATAATTATATATATATATATATATATATATATATATATATATAAATTATAATTATTAATTATGTTATGTTTTTCACTATTGATGTTTTAGAGTTTCACCCCTTCATTGCTGAGCACATTGTTTTCTGCATTGTGGCCGATTTGTAGAGAATTTTTGTGTTTTTGTCAATTTCCCGTTCATCTGTCATTTTTGACTGAAGAGCACAAGTGTGACAAATTTTTGTATGACCACTTAGCCTGCCTTAATCATGCCTTAATTTTTTTCGTGTGTTCATATACCTAATGCCATAAAAGTCACAGTTTCGTAACATTCAGATGAAGCTGTGATTTTTAAAAATTCAAAACAGATTTTTTAAAATCACAATTCATTGGTGTGTGTGTGTACATTATAAAAGTGTGTGTGTGTGTGTGTGTGTGTGGGTGGGTGGGTCTGTTTTGCACTCTTGATGTTTTAGAGTGTCACCCCTTCATTGTTGAGCACTTTTTTCTGCATCGTGGCCGATTTGTAGATTGTACACACAAAAATTCTCTGAATTTGTGTGTTTTTGTCAATTTCCCATTCATTTCATATAGTCGGTCATTTTTGACCGAAGAGCACAAAAGGCACTTTTTTTTATGACCACTTAGCCTGCTCGGATCATGACCTCATTTTTTTTTTTTTTTTTCACATACCTAATGCCATAAAAGTCACCAATATGGCATGCATAAATAATACAACTTTTTTATTTATTTATAATTTTCCCGGATCCATGTGAACAGGGATCATTTTGACAACGTTGTCATCTATACACAAAAAACGCAAAGGAAAAACTTTTCCGCTTTTAGTGCATCATTGTTGTGTAAACAAAGTTTCCATGGTTTTTCATTGATTGATTAAGTTGTATCACCTGTTTCTTGTTTCTTTGATTGGTTTGGATATGTATTGAACCCGCTCACTTGCACTCACTCGTTGTCTGGTCCTGTTGTTGTTGAAATGTTTCATGGACTCACCTTCTTTGCTGAGAATGCTTTGAAAGAACTTACCTTTGTGTTTACTGTGTTTTGGGATTCCTGTTGGCTACGATAAATGAATTATGGAATTTGAAATATTACCTGTTTTCCTCACTTTTTTGGACAAACGATATCATGAGTTCCTTTTTTTGTGCTACTTACCGGTTCACCTTGTTTTGCAAAATACTCCTGCAACTTATTCTTTTGTGTTGGTGTGTTGTTGCACATGTGTTTTTTGGTAACCTTTTTTTAAAGCATGATAATTACTATTTCCCCTCAGTTTTTCTTCTGCCTCTCAGTGTATGTGTGCTGTACCTGTGCAGTTGTACATGGTTAAATTTTGATGTCAGGTGGTTTGATATTTTTTGTTGCTCTTTTAGTTAATACTATTTACATCTGCAATAAGAGTTTATTGAATGCATATATACAAAATATTACAGGCAATGAGTAGATATTTACCTTAAAATTGCAATAAAATTACACCTTAAACTGCAGCATTAAAAGTGTTAAGAGCAAATGTGCACTCTATACTTTGTGCAGCTTTCTTAACACATTATTAACCATTATATTTGGTCTATATTAAACTTCTCTGTGGATAGTGTATGGCTGTATGTTTGCACTATCCACATATACTGTACATGCTATAACTGTATAAACTGTAAACGTTAAGCCACCATTAGCCATTTCAGGGTAGAATTTGGCTCTATGCATATTAGTTTTTGCAGGTGTGGTCCATGCTACGGCAGTAACAGAAGGCTTTAAAGAAACGGCAGTAACACGTATCGCAGGGGTTGCAGCAGGGCAGGTGGTGGCCCAGGCAGGACTGCTGATGAGGGATACAGCGGCTGGGGGAACGGGTGCCTCTTCTCTGAAGCCGTACAGCTTTACCCAGATCCTGTGGTTATGGCAATGAAACAAAAATACTTCAACACAGAGAAAAATGTTATAGTACTCAAACTTTTCAGACCAAGTTCCATGTTAAATTATATCAGAACATCCAAGTCATCACCTTAACCATTTAAACAATGCACTGCTACATAGGAATGTGGGCTATGCTTTAGAGTAAAAAAATAATAAAATTGTAAACAGAATTGTAAAAAGGACAGATATTAAAAGTAAAACATGAAAAAAAAAAAAACAGGACAATTTAAATAGAAGGAACTTTTTAAAATAATTTTAGCGCTGTCATTTGGCGTACCAAGTGGAGGCACATACCACTGGTGGTACATGTAAATTCTGTAAGTCACATGATATTAAATGTGAAAGCCAAATGTAAATTAACCACCTCATCATAGGATCCAAGGTCTTCTAGCAGTTTTTCTTCTGCAGAGTTTCTTTCAAGGTGCTCCAGTATAGGTAGTACGTCTGTGACATACAAAACACAAATGTGCCAAATAGAATTTTTTTTAAAGCAGTCCACTGTATCCAATTTGAAATTCATTCATTTAACACTTAAATGTTAACTGGGATTTACACAATGAAGTACTGAGAATTTTTGCAGAAATCTTTTATACTCCCCATACTGATCAAAATGTTAAGATAATATCCAGACAAAATAGTGTCCACTTTAAGAACTAAAATTATTTTCTTTATCAAAACACATTAAATATATACACATACATGTATAAAACATAATACGTTTGGACAAACCTACCACTTATTTATTATAAGTATTTTTAACATCTTAGAATAAAAAATAAAAAGTCTGGTAAAATATCCCATATAAGATATGTGTGAACATTTGTAGTGTATGAAATCACTTTAAAATGTAAACAATAACAACAAAAATCTTAATCTCTGAAAAGATCAATAGAAAAAGATACACACCACGTTTTTTTTGGAAAATAACATCAGTCTAGAAACCTTACCTGTGTCAGAAAGAGCAAAAGAGTGTTCACTACGTCTTAGGTTCGGATGTGATGCCATCACCATAACATTTATCAAAAACCAGCTGAAGATGGCTGTGTTCAGCATCATAATCATTTAAACTCAAAAACAAGATGAACTTCAGCCACACTTTTAGTGATCTGGTTGTATTCACTAAAAAAAGGAGAGAGCAGTCAAGAAAATACAGATTGAAAAGTGTATATGTTTGTGAGCAAGTAGATGTGTATTTTTCTATTTGCACTATGTTTTTGCCCTACAGTATGTGTGTGGATCTATGTACGTTTGCACAAGTTATGTATGTTTGACCTACCTTCAGCGTTCCACGTCCCAGGCTGAGTGTCTGCACAAGACTCCTTGATTTATAAGGCTCCTTGAGGTGGGAGGTGAGGGACACATGGTGCTGATCAGTGGATGGAGGTGTGGTCTCTTATTACTGGCACAACCACTTAACTTCCACACAAACACACACATACTGTAAACCCACGCAGTCAGGAAAAAATAAACAAACAGAATATCCTGGATGATAGTGTCTGACGGAATATTACTGTAATATGTTAGAATAAAAAAATGCTGAAATATAAGAAAAAATGTAAGACCTATTTCAGATTTTAAAAATGTCAGTTCCCTTTCAAGGGAACTCGAGCTGCATCGAGACGCTGTGGGAACGCACCTGCGTGATTGCGTCGTGAAAGCATGTGTATAATCAGACCGCACTAGCCTCTGTGCCTTCAGCAAGCGCTCTCTGTATACTGTCCCTGTCTATTTATTGTTGTCTGTCATTGCAAGCACAATATTTCACAGAAAGATATATATATATATATATATATATATAATGGCGAGCAAGCAAGATTTTAAGCAGTGTGTTGTTCCCTGCCCCCGTTTTATCACGGGTGGGGACACACATCAGCTTTGTGTTGCTTTTTTGGGAGTGGAGCATGCTCAGTCAGTTCTCGAGGGGGCTGACTGTGAGCATTGCATGAAGCTGCGAGGACGCTCCGCTCCCGCCGGGCGTTCTTCGAGGAGGACGGTTCGGTGCGTGCTCCCCAGGGTGCGGACATCTTGGGGTTCGCAAATGGATCTGACAGTGGGGTTTGAGATGGGCCCAGCCCTATCTCAGCCTTCACCTGCCAGATGCAGTGCCTTATCTCAGGGAGAAGCACACGCTGCGGTTTCTTCTCCCCAGGATGAGGCACCAATGCTGTGATTATCCAGTTCTGAGGAATTGGATGTTGTCAGGATTGATGCAGGGGATTATGAGAGTTCAGCATCTCATACCCCTGTTGATGAGTTTATGGAGGTTGTGACTCACGCTGTTGCCAAATTAAATATTGACTGGCCAGCCGAGGACCAAGAGGAATATAAAAAGAAAAGTTTACTAGATGAAAGATATTTACCATCTAGGTCACAGCCTCTTCATCTGAGTTTGCTATTTTTTCCTAATCTCCACGCTGAGGTGTCGAGGTCGTGGAAGAATCCGGTTTCATATCGTGTTTTTAATCCACAAACATCTAATTACAGCAATGTTATGGGTATTAAAGACTAGGGTTATGTGACGATGCCTCAGGCTAAAGAGACGCGACGGAATTCAAGAATTGCGTCTTGGTGGCCCGGAGACGGCCAAATCAATAGGCCGGTCTATGGCAGCCCTGGTGGCCACGGAGCGACATTTATGGTTGAATTTATCTGATATGAATGATAGAGATCTGTTCTTTTGGACACTCCGCTTTCACCTTCGAGTCTATTCGGCGAAGCAGTAAACACTGGCGTCGATAGATTTCAGGAGGCGAAGAAGCAATCAGCGGCGTTCCAGAAGTTTCTTCCTCGCTGATCTAATGTCCCCGGGACTGCTGGGCGAAAGCAGTCTCGGCCGTCTACAAGCTCCTCGCAGCACAGAGTGCAGCAAAAACAAAACGTCGCCACTCGGGGTCCTCCACAATCAGGGGGGCCTGGGTTGCGGTCGCAGTCGAAGCCGGTTAGAGGCAGGCAAGATCTGAGGACAGTCATCGTCTCTAAGAAGGCTTTGACAAAGAAGAAGTCCTGACGCCGAGGCTATCAGACTTCTGATAGTGGTCCCCTCCGGGGAGAGACGGGTTCAAGAAACCGTTTCTCCTCGGCTCCCTCTGGGGGGCGACTCTATGAGGAGGGTCCCAGCGCTGCCAGTTCGGTTGTTCCCTGCCGGTTCGCCGCTTCAGGGCACCGAGGTGTCAGCGTCCCCAAATGATCCTCCGAGGAGGGTTGTAAAGCAGTCAGTTCGGTTGTTCCCTACCGGTTCGCCGCTTCAGGGCGCTGGGGTGCCTGCACATCTCAACGATCCTCCGAGAAGGGTTGTAGAACAGTCAATTCCGTTGTTCCCTGCTGGTTCGCCGCTTCAGGGCACCGAAGTGACTGTTCGACCAAATCCAGAGGCCAGTCTCGAAAGACTGGTTCCCTTAGTAGAATTTCTGGCAGCGTGGAAACTACTGCCAAATATATCTCATTGGGTCCTGCATACAATAGAAGAGGGTTACAGAATTCAGTTCGGTTCTCGTCCGCCCAGATTTCTAGGGGTCCTCCCCATGGTGGTGGACCCCAAGCAGGCTCTGGTTATGGAGCAGGAAGTACAGACTCTTCTACAAAAGGGGGCTATAGAAAGGGTTCCTCTTCCCAGCAGGGAGTCAGGGTTTTACAACCGTTATTTCATTGTTCCAAAAAAGGATGGGGGGTTGCGTCCTATTCTAGATCTGCACCATCTAAACCGCAGGGTTCAGAAACTCAAGTTCAAGATGCTTACACTAAAACAGATCGTGTCACAGATTCAGTCCGAGGACTGGTTTGTCACGATAGACTTGAAGGACGCTTATTTCCATATATCCATCCATCCTCATCACAGGAAGTTCCTGAGGTTTGCTTTCGAGGGCGAAGTGTACCAATATCGGGTTCTTCCGTTCGGCCTAGGTTTATCACCCCACACTTTTACGAAATGCATGGATGCAGCTCTGGCTCCCCTGAGACTCCAGGGCATACGCGTGTAGAGTTACATCGACGATTGGTTGATTTTAGCTCAGTCCAAGCAGATGGCAGTTTGGCATCGAGATGTCGTTCTGTCTCACATAAAGATGCTGGGGTTGAGGCTCAATGCCAAGAAGAGTGTGCTCCTCCCATCTCAGAGGACCACTTTTCTAGGTGTGGTATGGGATTCGACAACGATGCGGGCACAATTGTCACCAGCACGTATTACTTTGATTCTCTCAGCCGTAAACGGGGTAAAACTAGGCCAGTCACTCACTGTGAAACAGTTTCAGAGACTATTGGGTCTCATGGCAGCTGTGTCCAACATTATAACTTTTGGCCTCTTGTACATGAGACCCCTGCAGTGGTGGCTCAGGACCAAGGGGTTTTCTCCGAGGGGAAATCCGTTTCACATGATCAAGGTCACGCGGCGATGCCTACGTGCCTTAGTCATGTGGAACAAACCTTGGTTCCTCGCCCAAGGCCCAGTGCTGGGGGCTTCTTGTCGACGCGTAACGCTATCGATGGATGCTTCCCTCAGAGGTTGGGGGGCAATCCTAAGTGGTCGCTCGGCGAAAGGTCTATGGCAGGACCATTTACTCTCTTGGCACATAAATCGGCTAGAAATGATGGCGGTGTTTCAAGCACTCAAGCACTTCCTGGCAGACCTGAGAGGTCACCATGTGCTTGTCTGCACGGACAACACATTGGTGGTCTCGTATATTAACCATCAGGGGGGTCTGAGGTCACGTCACCTATGCAAAACTGGCTCATCAGATCCTCCTGTGGGCCCAAGGGAAATTACTGTCTCTCAGGGCAGTATATATTCCAGGGCATCTAAATCAGGGAGCGGATATTCTGTCGAGGCAGGGGCTGAGGCCCGGGGAATGGAGACTTCACCTCAAGGTGGTGAAGCTCCTTTGGTAGAATTTCGGCCAAGCTCAAGTCGACCTTTTCACATCGTCAGATACAACGCATTGTCCCATGTGTCTCACGCACTCAGCTCCTCTCGGGTTGGATGCAATGGTTCAGGTGTGGCCGAGGCGTGTACTCAGGTGTGCACTCTTTTTTCTCCGATATCCATGCTTCCGGGAGTTCTGGAGAGGGTTCGCCGGGAAGGGGCCCGTCTGTTATTAGTAGCCCCGCACTGGCCGGCCCAAGTTTGGTTCTCGGACCTGGTGTCCCTTCTAGACAGCTCTCCGATGGAGATTCCGATCAGGAGGAACCTACTGTCCCAAGCAGGGGGCACGATTTATCACCCTCGCCCGGAGTTCTGGAAACTGTGGGCTTGGCCCCTGAGGGGGCCCAGTTCATAGAATCAGGTCTCTCAACCGAGGTTGTTGATACCATACTCCAATCTAGAGCTCCCTCCATGAGAAGACTGTATGCACTGAAATGGAAACTGTTCTCTGCTTGGTGCAGAGAACGCCAACTAAATCCTGTTTACTGCCCTGTTGGTACAGTACTTGATTATCTGCAAGAACGTTTCTCTGCGGGGTTATCTCCTTCCACCTTGAAGGTGTATGTGGCGGCTATATCTGCTTACCACACTCCTCTAGGTGGTGCATCATTGGGGAGAGATGCTCTCATTACTCGTTTTCTTTGTGGCACCCTGAGGCTGAGGCCTGCACTACGCGCAATAGAGCACCAGCTTGGGATTTGGCCATTGTATTGGAAGGCCTGGCTTTGGCTCCCTTCAAGCCCATTGAAGAGGTTTCAGAAAAGTTCCTTACACTAAAACCTTTATTTCTCATTGCTATCAGGAGAATTGGATATTTGCAAGCCTTGTCGGTTGTTCCTTCGTGCCTAGAATTTGCACCTGGAATGGCGAAAGCCTTTCTTCACCCTAGGCCTAAGGTCCCTACTAATGTTGCGGGCCCAATAGTGCTGCAGGCCTTCTGTCCTCCACCTTTTAACCCTCTGGGGTCGGCCGTCGCGCCGGCCTCGATTTTTTCCTTATCAGTGCAAAAGAGAATCAAATTACTCTGTTGATTTTGATCTTACATATAAGTGTTGTACATCATTAAATCCTGTTAAGTGTCTATTTTTTTGTGGATACTCACAATAAAAACAAAGTGTTGTGCTTTTCGTCAAATAATGAAAAATAAACATGATGCGCGTTTTGCCTTCTCTCTGTCAGTGAGGTCCATTCTGAAACGCGTCCAAAAAATAACTGTAACTCAGTCAATACTTGTCACAGAGATACGAGAGATTTCTCTTTATGAAGCTGAAATTCTCTTCTTTTAAATTAAGTAATTTATTTTAAAAAAAAATTGTTTTCCAGTTTATGTAATCCGTTTGAAACCAAGGAGAGGTACAGTTTTTTCGTTCTCCCTTCATTATCTTTAATGAGCTGAGACCGCCAAGCC